TGCAATCTCAACACCAGGAAGGTTGGGGCAAGAGGATTCCTGTGAGTTTGAGCCAGCCTGGACTAAAGGGTGATCAAATACCAGGCCAGTCAAAGCTACCCAACAAGACCCCCAACAAAACACTTTAATTTCCTATAGTCATAACTATGTTTTCTGCATATGTATTCCGTGCATTACTTGAGCTATAGTTTTGAAATGTGTTCATGTGGAATTCAAATAGTCCTGGCTTTTGTGTTTGCAAACTTTGGCAACTCTGACGGGATGCCAAATAGAAGTAGCAAGAAGAGCTGGGATTTGGTTTTGAAGGGGGGGCGGGACTTCCTGTTCTATCACTGTCGATCTTAATGTCAGTCTTTAGAATGTCAACATGACAGGCACTGCAGCCTCTCCCAGTCACTGTTGTGGTCACCTCTGCAGGAGCCTCATTTGCTCATCACAATGCAACAAAAACCATCAATTTGCAACTAGTCTATCTTGCAACGAGAATGTGGTCTGGATTAATATGTGTCTCTCCTAGAATTCATACTTTGATATACTAGCTCCCAGGACGCTAGGATGTGACCTCATTTGAAAACAGGCTCTTTACTGACATCTTTACATCATCGTTAATGATAAATGGTGGACTAAGGAAATCTGACGGAGGCTGAAAAACACAGGCGGGATGGGCACGTCAAACTGATGTGGAACGAAGCTGGGAACAGATCTTCCCTCACACCTTCAGAGGGACAGAGGCCCGAGTCCCATGGATCTCAGCTGTCAAGACTCCAAACTGAGAGACGATAAATGACTAGTGATTCGGTAGCTAGGTTTACTCATGAGAGGAGTGGGGTTCTTGAAGATGGAGACAAGAGAGCAGGAAAAACCAGTGCAGTAGGGAAGACGGGTCAAGAAAGAGCCTCTTCAACATCATGGATGCGCTGAGTTCCTGGAAACCCCAGCCAGGACGACCCAGGGATCACAAATGAGCACTAAGCCTGGGAGCGCACATCTATCCCCAGTACTTGAGAGGCTGAGGAAGGAGTTGCTTCAATGGGGTAGGGAAGAGGGGGCTCTGAGACTGTCAGGAGTACAAGGCCACCACTTTACCAGAATCCAACTTTAAACACTACCTCGTGACATATACATTATGAAGAGGAGATTTTAGAAGACAGAGCTTCTCTGATTATACCAAAGGGAAGAGGGGGGGAGGATAGATTTCTAAGTACTTCAGCCCCTAAGGAGATTTGTGAGTAGGGATTTAGAAATCATAACCTTAACAAACCTGCTATTGTCAAACGCCTTTGTCCCGTGAGAAGCTTGCTTTCCTGCAAGCCAGGCAAATAGGCATTACCATGCCGGGCTGGTCACATTTCAAATAGCCCCAAACGGTAAGATTTCCACGTGAGAGAGACAACTGAACCATTCCTTCTGCCCTTTCTAAAGTCCCGGAAGCCCTCCATCTGGTAGGCACTCTAATGGACCTTCACCCAGGGCACACAAACCCAGAAGAGGTTTCCAGGAGCAGAGTTCAACAGTCACATCTTGGAAGATGCCAACCCTGGGATTCTCTGGGCTCAGTGGCTACACTCAGCCACTAGCACACTATCGGCATTTGTTTCTCTCTAGAGAGTTCCACATCGACACCCCTCCACTAGGGCTGCCCCATCTCCTGCGTTCACTACTCCATGTTCTCCATCCCCACCATAAAGTCAGCCTTCTGGAAGGACACATCACTGGGCTTTTATTTTTTTCTTTCTTCACCTTGTAGCTCTGTGTATTTCCCTCACCACCCTATTGCAATTATAATTATCTGCTTACTTACTATCCATATCTTCCTCAAATTGTTTTACAACTAGAGCCAGCATACGAGAGACACAGAAATATTTGTCTAGAGCGAGCAATTAACTAATTAAACTAATGAACCCATGATAGTGGCACACTCCCAAGACTCAATAGAAAGTTCTTTATGCCAGGCACCTCTGGCTTGGGCCTAGCCTGAAACGGTCTACACTTGTCTTCCTGAGTGTGAAGCGGATGGTTGAGGCATTGCTTACTGTCTAATGTCCCCAACAAGGAGTTAAAAGGATGCTTTAAGTACATGCATGTTCAGTTTTATTACTTTTGTGTTGCTGTAGCAATACCTGCCAGGATCAACTTAAAAAACCAGTTAGTTGCATTAGTGCCTACCTGTAAGCCCAACACCAGAGAGGCAGAGACAGGAGAGGAACTCACTATACTTAAGGCTTACTGAGTACAGTGAGTTCCAGCTCGGTCAGGGCTACCTAGCCAAACCCTGTCTCAAATTAATCCTCTGAGTGATGGAGGAGGGTAATCTGTCTATGTATTACTCTCATTTGTTAATAAAGAAACTGCCTTGGCTATTTCATAGGGCAGGATTTAGATAGGTGGAGTAGACAGAACAGAATGCTGGGAGAAAGAAAACATAGTTGATCAGTTGCCATAATTCTCTGACCTGAGACAGACATAGGCTAGAATCTTTCCCAGTAAGCCACCACCTTGTGGGGCTACACAGATTATTAGAAATGGGTTAAGCAAGATATGAAAATTAGCCAATAAGAGGCTGAAACTAGTGGGCCAGGCAGTGTTTAAATGAATACAGTTTCCGTGTAATTATTTTGGGTAAAGCTAGCCAGTGACAGGGAGCTGGGCAGAGGGAAGCGGCCCACAGCTCCTCACTACATCTGAGTGGGAAAAGTTCTTTGCAAACTATGCATTAGACGTGGGATTAATATCTAGAATAAATAAAGAACTGCAAAAATTAAACATCCAACCCCACCCCAACCATCTGCTCAGAAATGGGCTCATGAACCAAACAGACAGCTCTCAAAGGAAGAATCACAAAAGGAAAAAATATTTGAGAAAATGTTCAACATCCTGAGGCACTAAGGAAATTCAAATTAAAACTGATTTGAGACTCCACCATGATAGTCAGAATGGCTATGGTGGAGAAAACAAAGAATAAACGCTGGCAAGGGCAGTGTTGTTGGGAACGCAATCCATGCAGCCATTGGAAGTACATAGCCAAAGGACTCCCTGTCAGCATCCCACTACTGACCGTGGCACATCCATGTTAAATTGCTGCACTAGAATAGCTAAGAAATGGAACCAGCACAGATGTCCATCAACAGATACATGGGCAAAGTAAATGTGGAATTTTATTTAGCCATAAAGCAAATGAAATCAGGATATTTACAATAAAATAGACAGAGCTGAAGATTATGTTAAATAAAACAAGACAGGCCAGGCATGGTAGTGCAAGCCTTTAATCCCAGCACTTGGGAAGCAGAAGCAGGTGCATCTCTCTGGAGTTTCTGGCCAGCCTGGTCTACGGAGCAGACAGCCAGGGCTGTTACAGAGAAATCCCGTCTTAAAACATCAACAACAACAAAAAAAATTAAAAAATAAATAAAACAAGACAATTTCAATGAATCTATATTTAAACTTACATAGGTGTGTGTGTGTTATGAAAGCAGAAAGAAGTAATATAATACCTGTTCCAGGAAAGCAAAGGGAGTCTGTGGTGAGAAGGGAGGGGAACAAGAAAAGAAAGGCATGGCATGGGGGAAGACCATGGAGAGAGAGCTGAGTAAGAACAAAGCGTAACGACAGAAATGTGTGATAATGCTAATGAAGCCCATGAGAAGCTAATTTTATAAATAATAATTCGGGCTGGAGAGATGGCTCAGGGATTAGAAGCATGGGCGACTCGTCCAGAGGACTGAGGTTGAATTCCCAGCACCCACGTGGCAGTTCACAACTGTCAGTAACTCCTGTTTCAGAGTATCCGATGGTGTCTTGCTTCCGAGGACACTGCACATACATGGTACACAGACACACATACATGGAGACCCACCATACACATGAGATAATATGTTTTTAATTAGGAAAGAAAGAAAACCGGAGGCAGTGAGCCCAAGCGTGGGTGGCAGTTGTGGGATATTGTCATGAGGCCACATTTCTCTCTTGTCATTCTGCGAAAAGACGTTATCTCATAGTTCAATGGGGCTAAGGGAACGCCTAAAATTGTGTGTAACTTTCAGGAGAGAAGGAAAAGGAAAAATAGGATGTTCCCACCCAAGCCAGCTTCATTACGAGCCCTCTTCCAGAAGAAGAAAGAAAAGGGGTGCAAGAGAGGGGGGAGGAGCAGATGAAAGGAAGGGAGGGGGATGAAAGAAGGGAGAGTGCACTAGTTGCTCAGTTTAAAGATTTTGAAAATGTCACAGTACAGCAACTATTATCACATGGGGAGGCTCCATCACATTCATGGTATGAATCAGTATTGAACTGAGCGGAAGTTCTTGCTGAGTGATGGGGTCATGCGTGATTGTTATCTTCTTGTCTATATTGTATACATTTTTTCTAAGACTTATGTAATGCTTGTATAAATGCATTTGAGATGGGGACATGTATTTACATTTCAAACCAGTACCCAAAGGTTAAATAATATATGATTCTATGACTGGGTGTGCTGACTCCCCTGTATTCTTGGCACTTGGAAAGCTGAGCCAGAAGACTGCCTTGAGTTCAAGGTCAGCCTGGCGTAAAACTGTGGGAGACCCTGTCGCAAAAATCTAAACACACACACACACACACACACACTCTCTCTCTCTCTCTCTCCTTCTCTCCCTCTCTCTCTCTCTCTCTCTCTCTCTCTCTCTC